AAGGGCAGGGGCAGGCTACAAAGCCAGGTGTCCCTGAACCCCTTCTCCTCACTTTTCTCTGCAAGAGCTGAAGACAACTTCCATCCATTTCACAAGCAAGGAAACCAGAGAGAGGCCCAGAGGGGACACAAGACAGATTACAGGATGAGCTTTAAATCAGGCCTGGCAGGACACTGTATATAATGGATTCCTGTTGGCGGGAACAACATTCCTGGCCCCTGTTCTTCTAGGCAGCCTCCAGAGCGATGTCACTCCAAACTAACGACAGGTGGCAGCAGAGGACCATGGTAGGCAGCCTAGGCCTTGTCTATAAGGCTTGCCCAACCTCCCTTCTCAGTGGGAAAGTTGGCTAGATTGGTACCACGAGGAGGTGTGGCTGTGGCAGAGCAGCCATACTGAGGGACCTGGGGCACCTGGAGCTGGGATAAGTGGGTGTTTACTGAAGAGGTAATGGTGAAGGGCAGGGCAGAACATCTGAGAGGGAGGAGGTAGGGGTGGAGGAACTGAACAGAGCCTATAGGGGTGGGGGTGGGGAAGGCAGAGAAATAGGCTGAGAGTTCAGAGAAAAACAAAGATGTACAGAGACTCTGGGATACACACACACACACACACACACACACACACACACTCTGAAATCATGGAACTTTCCAACTGTAAGGACCTTTACAAGCCAATGTCCCAAACCTTCCATCTTACATGTGGGGACACTGAGACTCAGAGAAGATCTGATTTACTTGAGATCACAGAAGCAAATTTCTGATAAGCAGGAACTAGTCCCAGTCTGGCTCCTCACCTGATTCCCAGACTCCAGTTCTTTTGTCCAAAGGCCACCTTGGACAGTATGCATGGTAACTGCCTGAGGATCTACTCAATCTTTGCCCCAGAGTCAGGGAGACATAGAAACTGAGACAGATACTCAGACAGAAGCAGATGGAAACAGTGTAGGAAGAGAAAGTGAGGGGGAACAGGAGGGAGCAGAGTCCTCAAAGGCTAGCCCAACCCTAATCTATCTTAGAGCAGAGGACCAGGTACATGGAAAAGAGGCCCAGGTGGGATCCAGGAGCTGGAGAGAAGGCCTTGATTTCTTCTACCTCTGCTGCCTGCTCGCCATGAGATCACTGCCTGATTTCACCACAAGCATGGACAGACACATTGCTTCCTGACCAGGACCCAAGCTCTGCCATCTCAAACTTGCTGGCCCAACATAGGATATGTGTGCAATGCCATTATCAACTCTAGTGACCATATTTTCAAACTAAAAAATGAGGCCAGATTGTCTAATGTATCAGCTGATCATAGAACAGAATATTTAAAATTAAGCTTGTCCCCGGAAATCTGGACCATCTGGTTACTGTCCTGTTACTCCACCCATTGGCTTCCCCTTCACACACAGGCCTGAAGATGCCCCCAGCTGTTAGCCAGGCCCTGGGGCTGAGAAATGAGGAAGGGGAATGAAAGCTAACATTTACTGAGCTCTTGCCATGTGTCAGGCATTTTCTGTCCATTATCTCATTTATTTTCCATGACAGCCATATGAAGTAGGTACTTTTATAATCCTCAATTCACAGATGAGGAAACAAGTTCAGACAGCTGGACTCACTTCACCCAAGAAGGTCACACAAGTATACCAAGCCAGTCAAAGACCATGCTCCATAACCCCACTATGATAAGCTGACATCCCCAGCAGAGAAAGCCCTTCTAAGGAGTGAAAGAAAGCACTGAGAAGAATTGCCACCCTAAAAGCTACTGTGAATTTGGGATGTATCAACAGAGGTAAAGAGACCAAATGAAGTAGATCATAGTCTTACTCTTCTCTGATCTCTGGAATATGTTCCTGTTCTGGGCCCTATATATTGAGGCCATACTGGTACATGTCTATAGGGCAGTGAGGAGGTTGAGGAGAGGCTTGGAACCCATATTCTTGAGGAGCAGTTGGAGGAATGAGGGCTGTTAGGCCTGGAAGTGTGATTTCAGATACTTCAGACAACATAATGAGAAGGCATAATGCTGTGTGGCCCGAGGGGATCAAGACATATAGGAGGGGCATATATGTACTCAGCACAAGAAAGAACTTTCTGAGTCCTAGATACCCTGTCATAAAACTGGCTGCCTTGAGAGAGAGTGAGTTCTCCTTCACTTGTGGGGCGCAAACCTGTTTGAACTGAACACTTAATGGAAATGCTGCAGACAAGCTTTGAGTTCTAGATCAGAGTTTGGATTGGTTGCCTCCTAGGTTCATGACAGCTCTGAGATTCCATGAATCTGTTATTTTTGTGAGAGTTGGCATGCTCTGAGGCCACCCCATGGAGATTTAACAACTTTTTTTTCTCTGCTTTTTTCCAGTGCCTCACATGTTTAAAAGCCAGAAAGTCATTCCTTAGGTCTCACCTAAATTCCTCTTAATAGAGTCAGTTCCATGAAGGAGGACCAAAGAAAGCAGAAAGGCAAGCCCTAGAAACCTAGAGAAAAATTGTTCTCAAGTAGCAAAATTTAGACAGACAAATGGCCAATGACAAATGGGAGAAGGAGCATTGAGAAAACATTACAGTTGAGATGTAAAGTAACTTTCCTTTAATGATATTATCTTTCCCAATTGATTTTGTGATTCAAGTTACTCATACTTAAACGATGGGGTGATGAGGTGCTCATGTCATTATTTGGACTATGACATTAACCAATCACTTTAGGCAATGCTGCTAATGTCATGAAATCATTCTTAGGACTAATCTAGATGTCAATTACAGCACCACCAATCCACTGTTAAACATTACATTTGCATAACAATCTGTTGAGTGAGAGGTGCAGGTTGTCAAGTGACTGGAAGGAGTGAGAGACTGATGATAGTCCAGGTTTGTCCTGACAAGACCACAGAGATGTTCTGGATTGAGAAAGTTTGGAGGAATGACCATGACCCATCTCTGATGAATCAAATCTTGTTTCTCTCCATCCTCTCATATCATCAATACTTAGGTTGACATTGATTTATCAGAGATGTGTGCAGCACCCCCATGAGGCTGGCCTAAGGAGCTATTATCCCTCTGACCAGCTCTAAATATTTCTTTCCTCCATCACCTTAAAAATCTGCTTTCTCCATCTACGTTATCAGCTGTCCTCAGGAGAGTGCCCTGGCTTTGACACCTTTACCTGGAGAGTTTATCCAACTGTGGGAAGCCTAGGGCCTGGAGAGTAGTGTGAAGAAAGGCTTCCTTTCTTTCTGCAGGTTGCATGCATGTCTTGCTAACAACAACTAAGGCTAGGTTCAATTTTAGATCTGGAACTATATATTTCTCTAAGAGATGTTCTTGTTTTGACTAAAGAAAGGGGGATTGGCTCTAGTGAATGTTTATACAAATTCCAGCTGTGGGGGAGTATGGAACCCAAATCAGGGATTGGGGCACATGAATAACTGAGGTCGTGCCTTTGTGGAAAAATCTGAAAGTGAGGCAGAAAAGCAAGATAGGGATGAGGTAGCCAGGGAGGATTTGATCTCTCTGATAAATCCTAGCTTTGACCTGATCTAGAGTGGATGTGGGAATTTCGGAGCATAAATCACACTACAGAGTTGTACCATATTGAGGAGAGGGACTGGACTTTTGTATTCCTGTAGCAGTAACTTATTCTCCTCTCCAAATCAATCCTGTGGATGACAGGTATAACCACCCACACAACTCTGTATTAGATGGCTTCTATCAGCCAAGAGCAAGTCTCTGAGTTATTGCCACTAGCCACAGCACGCACAATACTGAGGAAGAGGGGATCTAGCCCTGGCACAAGCACCATCTACTGCAAAAGGGATGCCATCTTAGAGGTCTGAAGCCATCCCCCTTCTATGAAGCACACAGACTTCAATCACTGTGGCTCTGACATTCACCTGTGAGCTAGTTGTATCTCATGGATCAGAGCTATTGGAAGGTAAATGGAAGGGTTAGGAAGTTGTCACTTGTGAAAGAATGAGACATGAGTCAAGCACCTGGGTCAAGAAAGCCACATAGCTGAAACAGACATGGATCTGGTGGGGGAAAACACCAGGCAAAGGTGACTCCAGGATTGTGTCAGGTCATCAGGACTGTAGTGCTATCACTTCAAGAGACAGGGGCTTTGAGGGTACACCAAGCTATACACTGAGACAAACTAGAATTAATCCACATGGATTGTTTTTATGCTGCATGTAGTTTTATAAATTACAGTATTTCCTTTTTCTTCTTGTTAATTTTCTTTGTGAAAATATGCTTAGGGGGATCATGGAAATAGCTTGGAGCCCATCCTGGGGCTGATATGTTGCCTAAGAATGACAGCAGCTACCACCTATTGAGCACTTAATATGTACCAAGAACCCACTGAGCACTTATTTTCAGCCATTATTAGCTTATTGAGTCCTGATAGGACTTGGACTCTCCTATATATGGGGATGGTTGGTGAGAAAAGGAGGTGTCAAAGATAACTCTTGGTTTCTGAATGGATGTTTTGTACCATTATCTGAGATGAATACTGTAGAAAGAACTCTTCTCTGGCCTCAGATCTCTTTTCTGTAGGCTGAACAACTCCAGTTTCTGTAAATGTTTCCTTGTGAGGCTTGTTTTGAAAACTCTAGGACTTCTTAGAGATCCATTAGGTCCTGACTAGGAAGTTTCTAGATCTCAGAAGACTTGCACTTTTCTTTACTGCTTTAATCCCTTTTCATGGATATAGCTTGTGTGAGAAAACAAAACAAAACAAAACACAAACAGGTTGCACTCAGTTAATCGGATTCCTTAGATGAACACCAAGGTTCGGTCCCTCTACCAACCCCAGTAAAATTATAATCAAGAAGATGTAAAGGAAGATGTATATTTGCTACCGTGTCCAGTCCCTGGAAAAGAACCACAAGAAAACCCCATTTTTGGCAGCAAATAAGCAAGTGTTTCTTTTCTTTTTTTTTTTTTTAAATTTCTAAGTATTTAAAGGCAATACATATTGAGTGCTAAGATTAAGTTCTTTATACAAGGATTATCTTTTTTTTTTTTTAGTTCTACAAATAATTTTATTGAAACTAAACCAATTAGCACAACAGCCTTCCTAGACTGGGGGCCACCCTCCCCACACCACTTCCCATACTCTGGAAGCACAGAGCTTGCACAGTAAGGAATTAAAAAACAAAAGTCATTTTTATGTAGAAATCAGACTTTGCCCCAACAATGTGATGGACTAGACCAGGGGTAGGCAACCTTTAAGAGATAAAGAGCCACTTGGACCTGTTTTCGAAGGAAAAAAAAAAAAACAACAACCGGGAACCGCAAAACCATTGCAACATTTAAAACAAATATAACACTGCATATACTGCATATATTGTTTCTTACCTTAATGCTATATACCAGATCGTCCAGAAAAAGGATTTTTTCACTTAACAAAAAGAGCCGCATGCGGCTCAGGAGCCGCAGGTTGCCGACACCTGGACTAGACTATTTACAAACTTTCACATTTTATGCCTTTTATGGTTGTTCTCTGTACCTACCCAGGGGCTCCAATACTTTCCCCTGATTGATCCTGAAGGGATGGGCATACTATATGGGAAGGGGTGGTGGGCTCAGAGCTATTGGCACCACAGGGTGTTGTCCTCCAATGTGGGTGGGTGGGGACACTCGTGCAAAAGGCAAGGGAGATCACATGCACTATGTGGGTAGGGGCACCTCCCCAGAGGCACAGGCACCAGAGCCCTACCTGATACCCACCCTATGGGGGGAGGGGAGAGGACGACTCCAGAGGCAACTAGTTGCAGTGGGGAGAGATCAGCCCAGTCCTGGGCAGAGGGAGAAGCCTCCCACACCAGTCCTTCCTCCTGCTAACAGCCAGCAACTGTCCCTTCCTCTGGGGGTGGGAACACAAAGGCAGGTAGGTAGGAAAAATCAGGTTTGTGTTGCCCCCAGCCTCTGTCCAACAGAGGAGGAATCAAGGTAGCAAATGGCTTAAATGCTCCAAGGAACGGGTATAGGAAGTGAGAGAAGGGACATCCCCACTTGTATACAGCTCCCATAGCCCAGGGCTGGAAGAAAGACCTTATTTGTAAAGTTCTGTAGCCCTGGGAGGGTTGGGCCCCAGGCAAGCTTGGAAGCAAGCAGGCCAAGCCGGGGCGCAGGAACCACACATCCCCTTCCCCCGCCACCCCCCCTTCCATTGGCATCTGCCCCCCAGGCTCCTTATCTGGATGGCTGGGGAATGTAGGCTGGTAAAGCCGCTGTCAGCCCTCACCAGCCACCTCTCATCCGAAGACAAACCAACCAACACTGCAGGACTTCCAGGCTCACAGCGGCGGTGTCCAGGCCTGTGGAGTTTAATCAGGATAGTGGCTGCACCCTAGCACCTGAGTGGAAGCCAGGCCTTGAGCCTGAGGGTTTCTTGCTGGGGCAGGAGGTGCTTAGGCCTGAAACCCCCAGGCTCACATCTCATAGAGGATCACAGGGAAATCCACATGGATGCGGGGGGTGTCCAGCTTCACGGTGCCCTGAGGAATCAGGTTCTTGTGCACCTGCTTTAGCTTGGCCCGCTTCTGCCTGTTGTTGGTGACGTTCATCTCCTCATAGAACTCGTGAGCGAGATCTTCATCCTCGTCATAGAACATGGAGCCTCGGGGCGTGAATACGAAGGGGGGCACAACTCGGCCTTGGCTTCATGGCCACCGCCGCCCCGCCGCCAAGGCGATGGGCCACAGTTCCCGAGCTTCCAGCACATGGCGGAACCCCGGCCACTTTGCTCTCACTGTGCAGTCCAAGCCATCATTCCTGCCCTGGCCCTGCTCTCAGGGGTTGCAGCCCTCTTCCACAGGGTAGGCTGTCTCCACGGAAACCATATACAAGGATTATCTTATTTAATTCTAAAATCTGTGAAATCGTTATTTGTGTCCATTGCAATGCATTTAGCAGAAATTAAAATAAGCCATGATTCAAACTGGCTTAAACAAATAGGAAATTTGTTTTCTCAAATAAAAGGATGTCCAGAGGCTTCAGGCCTAGCAAAATCAGTGACTCATCAGTGTTCTCTGGAACTAGAATATTTTCACCACTTGGTTCTGCCTTCCTCAGAAAAACTTCTGCATAAGGTAGTTCAAAACACCACTTCCATGCTGAAAGGAAAAAAAAAAAATGTATCTTTTTGTCTCCCTAGGAATAAGGGAATCTTTCCCAGAGGTCCCCAGTTAGACTTCCCATCATGCATAGTTCATTGGCCAGGATTGAAACACATGCTCTTTCCTGAACCAATCATTAACAAGGGCAATGGAAAGGAATGAGTGGATTAGCTTGCTTATTTGAAGTGGAAGAAAGGACACGAAAATACTACCATGTTCTCATTTTACAGAAGAGAAAACTAAGGCTCGCTCAGATTGAGTAACAAAGTAACTTTCCCAAAGTAACAAATGCAACCAGTAAATGACAGAGCTAAGATATAAACCCAGTACTTTCCTATTCACTGAACTTATTCATTACTAAATACTTGTTAATTGCTAAGAGCTTATGAGGTAGTAGAAGAGGCAATCATTATTCAAGTACAGTAAACCTTCCATTTTGTAGACCTCTATTTAACAGACTTCAGATTTAATAGACAAAATTTCCAGTCCATATATCATATGTGCAAGTTAACACCGTGTAAATTTAAAAATACTTTCAAACAAGATTTGCTTATAATTAAATTAATAGGTTTTTTATTAATCCACTGTTATTTATTTTTTAAAAATTCTTTATTGATTAAGGTATCACATATCTGTCCTCAACCCCCCATTCCAATCCCCCACCCCTCTCCACTCATGGCCCCACCCCCCTATTGTCCTTGAGCACTGGTTAGGCTCATATGTATGCACATAAATCCTTTGGTTGATCTCTCCCTTTTATCCCCACCCTCAACTTTGAGGTCCAAGAGTCTGACCCGTGGCTCCTTATCTCTGGGTCTGTTCTTGTTCATCAGTCTATGTTGTTCACCATTTCCCCCAGATGAGTGAGAACATGTCATACTGGAAATATAAGAATGAAAAATGAGACAAGGTATAATTGTTATGCTGAAGGCATATGAATCAGTCTGTAGTGAGTTTCTTTCTGGGCCAACAGTTCTTTTGAGACCCAATTTCAATGTCAAACAGTTCCTTATGTATACACATCAGCAATGATATTTCACTTCTGGATGGTGGACAAATGGTGGTAATGCAGGTCCAACCCTCTCTGTTTGGTCCTGGGTAACCTGCAGTGATGAACAGCTGCTGACTGCTATTATGGCAAGGCTTTCTCGGCGTCTTCCATCTCTGGACTGCTTCTCTTCTGTCTTCATGGCTGGAGTAGTCCTGTCAATTCCTCTCTGTTGCCAGAATCCATCTGGTCTCAGAGGTGTTTTCTGAAAATATACAAACATATTCTTGACCAAAAGTTAATAAAGGAATATTTTCTATAAATTTGACTTGGGATCCTTTTTTATCTCTTGCCCAAATGATTTTCCTCTGGCTAGTTTTGACACCATGTGTGTTTTTCATGGGTTTCTTGCTGTTAGCATTACAACTAATTTTCTAAAGTACAAATTTTCTAGATGTGATTTACTTACAGGATAATTTTCCTTACATGATATTCTTCTACTTTCCCCCTTTTTAATTTAAATATTAGGAGGCTTTTGAAATTTTTGTAATGTAGTCTTGATAGCTTTTAAATTTTAATTTTTTGCACTATAATATGACTGCTTTAGTTTCATTTCCTGTTGTGAGATTTTTATCCTGAGATGAACTACCAATAAAAATTTTAGTTAACACTTTTAGGAACAGATTTTTTGTCCAGTGCAATTAGTTTTTCTAGAATATTCACTTATTTCAATTAGCCAATTTAAATTAGCCTGAAAAATTGTCTACTACTTTACTGTCAAATTTATTACTCTCAAACAATCTTATTTTACTGTGTAAATATTAGGGGAAAGGATTATTTGCCTTCTTGAGTAGGCCCTGAGCATTCCTGGTGGTAGGATGGATTTAGATATCAAAAACCCACTTCCCCACACAGTTGTTTACAAGACGACTCAAACAAGTCTTGTTGTAGTGCAAGGGAAGCTGCTGTCAGTCAAGTCTCTGTCTTTTACCCAGGTACCGATTTGAGCTGGGCATGGGACGTTAAACAGCCATGGGGGCAGGAGACTCCCTCAGAAGGGATGAGGTTTCAGTCCCCTGCAAAGGTGGGGGATGAGGGTCTGTGCTCCACCTCAGTTGATCCCCAAGTTTTCTCCTGATGGTCCCTCTTCCACTGTGCCTGTCTTAGGTTGTTCCTTCCCTGAGGAATCTTACCCGTCACTGGCTAACCAGCCATTCTCTGGGGCCAAGAAGGGTGATGTGAGGTTCAGTTCTATCTCCTTGGTATCCTATGCCCCTGTGGCCTCCCCACCTAGCTCCTGCCTTAGGATCCCCTCGCCTGCTGGTGGGGCCCCAGCACTGATCACATATCTTGGGGAACCTGGTCTCTTCTCCAGGGAGGGCCCATCTTACCCACTGGGTGAGAGACAGATCCACGGTACCAGTCATCACGAGGCTTCAACCTCGACATGAACAGAAAGCTCAGGCAGCAGCTGTGGGCAATTGGATTGTGAGAAGAGGGTCCCTCTTGGCCAAAAGAGCAAGAGGGGCCAATATAGAATGCTCAGGTGCCTTCCCAGGAGGCCCTATACACAATGGAAGAGATTAAATCTTTTCATGTCCTTTTTAAATTGCTGCCAGATATTCAAAGAGTTAATTTGTAAGTTTGCTTGGGATAATTGTATATTATGCTGTTGTAATTTTAGAATATCAAGATATGTGTTATCTTTGTCTCCAAGCACCAAAAAGATGATTTTTTATTGATCCCCAAGGGTTCAAGGTACCTAAGGTACCCCTGCATAAGTAATTGGTGTAACACAAATCTGGAAAAAATTTTAATGGCATTGTAGAATAATATCATGTAAGGATATTCTTTGTTCTAGGCCATGGCAATTCCATTTCATACTGGCTGTCCATTTCTTTTTCTATGGACCAGGTCTTAGTTACATTTTCTGCACCTTTCCCAGGGACTAGTAGTGACAGTAGTGACACCCTTTCTTTGGTATTCACACAAGCCAGAAACCTCTCTTTAATTTTACACACAAAAGGGCAGTGTTTTGATTTTGTGTCATACAAAAGGGAAGCTGGATGGAGACCCCTGTGTAATTGTACTTTCTTTCCCCTCCCATTGTCCTCCTGGATGACCAAGGTGTTTGATATTTTTGGTGACTACATTAGGTGGGGGATTAGCCCATGTAAGGGGTCTTACCTGTGAAGTGTCAGGAGCATAAGTACAAAATACTTCCCCATTTGACCCAGGTAATATTACCGAACATCTGATGATTGCTAGTGTTCTCAGGCATTCTTGAGTTTCTGGTGACCTCACAATTTCTTCCCTGAGGTTATCCATTCTGATTGGCATATCCCAAAGTTTATATTGTTCATTATATTCCACAAATGAGTGAGATCATGTGATATTTATCTTTCTCTATCTGGCTTATTTCACTTAGCATAATGTTCTCCATCTCCATCCATGTTGCTGCAAATGGTGAGAGCTCCTTCTTTTTTACTGCAGCGTAGTATTCTCTTGTGTAGATGTACCACAGTTTTTTAATCCACTCATCTGCTGATGGGCACTTAGTCTGTTTCCAAATCTTAGCTATCGTGAATTGTGCTGCTATGAACATAGGATTGCATATATCCTTTTTGATTGATGTTTCTAGTTTCTTGGAATATGTTCCTACAAGTGGGATCACTGGGTCAAATGGGAGTTCCATTTTTAGTTTTTTGAGGAAACTCCATACTGTTCTCCACAGTGGCTGCACCAGTCTGCGTTCCCACCAGCAGTGCACAAAGGTTCCTTTTTCTCCTCATCCTCACCATCACTTGTCATTTGTTGACTTGTGAATAATAGCCATTCTGATAGGTGTGAGATTGTACCACATTGTTGTTTTGATTTGCATCTCTCTGTCGATTAGAGACTTTAAGCAGGTTTTCATATGTCTCTTGGCCTTTCTTCTATCTTCTTTCAAAAAGTATCTATTTAGATCAGTTGCCCATTTTTTGATTGGGTTGCTAATCTTTTTGTTGAGCTGCATGAATTTCCTATAAATGTTGGAGATTAAACCCTTATCAT